TAGACCACCGCCGCGCATAACAGCACATTCCACTAGGGCCCAGGCAACGTCGGCGGCGTTCCTGGCCTGCGTGCCAATCTTGGAAATCTGCAGAGCAGCATCCTGGTCATCGGTGCACACTTTTGCAGAGAATTATGCATCACTCAACTGGCCAGGGAGGATGCTGCCGTCGGGAGGGCAGTTCTGTGTTCTGCAGAATAATAAAATAATAGTTAGTCACCTTCCGACCCCGCCTCCGGAGGGGGGACACAGCTAGGGACTCACCTAATCAGAATGGACATGAGCAAGCACTCGAAGAAGAAGAAGAGGTTACTTACCTCGTAACTGTAGTTCTTCGAGATGTGTTGCTCATGTCCGTTCTGCATCCCACCCGCCTCCCCGTGTCGGAAGGAGCCGGCAAGAAGGAACTGAGGGGTGGGAGGGCCAGCAGGGGTATATTAGAAGGATACTGCTAAGGGAAAAAAGCTCCGGAATCCGTGCACGCGGCGCGCGTACACCTAATCAGAATGGACATGAGCAACACATCTCGAAGAACTACAGTTACGAGGTAAGTAACCTCTTCTTCTAATAGAGTAATCAGGTACAATTGGGATTGGCAAACATTTCAGAATTATAAACCTGTTACTTAGCATATGGTAGAGAGAAATTGCACTAAAATTTACTCTTATTCCTACTCTTCATTTTGCAGATTATTGAGCATCTTAAGCTCGTACCCTTGAGTCAAGATTGTGTGGAAGAGAGGGTAGCTGCCTTCAGAAATTTCAGTGACGAAGTAAGCCTCACTTTGTGCCCTCAATCTTTTGCTATTTATATCTTGCCAGAGAAGTGTAGTTTCACTGTTTTATAGTTTGTAATTGGAAATATCGATCAGCTCCAGATTTATTCTATAATTTAGTCTTTGACTGCAACATTTTCCACTGCGCTATTAGGACTCCTCCATGCAGCCTTAAGATCAGGCACTAGAAATTTCAGAATGTAGTATCCATTTTGTGGAGCAGAATCTGTTTGGAATCTTCTATGCCAGTATTTTGAGATGTAAAACGGAGGTCAGAAAATGTATTTGGAGTTTCAACTTTTGTATTGAAGTGGGCCTTCGATGCTTTCAGCAGCCACTTAGCATGTAAGGGATCATGGGCTTCCTCTCCTTTCCTTCCAAACTAAAGGAAATTATAACTGATTTGCAGGCTACAGCAATTACCCTGGGAGATTGTCCATTGAAATTGACATGCCAGGGGCAAAGCCTCCTTAGCACTTTCTTTTGAACCTTATATCAAATGTTAGATGCAATCTTAACATCTATTAAAGAGGATTTTTCATAGCATAATCATTGTTTGCTGCTAAGTGAACTCATAGATGAAAGGCTTGTGAATAAATGAATGACATTTCCCATCACGCCTTAAAATTTATTGATTTCTTTCCTGACTCATACATGTGGTGGACTGTTGCTCTGAAGTCACTTCCCCATAATCAAACTGCTTTAGGTTCTAGCAGGTACAAATCCAACTGAAGATTTTAACATCTTGACTCTTTGCTTATAAATTAGTCCATCTTCAAAGTACTAGCTGAAGTGGTAAAAGAAGGATGTTAGTGGTTGGAGGAAGTGTCTAGAGCAACCTTCTCTGTGTTTTCTATCATCGGAACCAAAAACTGGTATCCAGATGACCACCTAGCCAAGAGCTAACACTGCAGAATTTTAGAGGGGAAAAAAAAATCTCACTGCTACAATGTAACGATGGTAGCAGGAGTGAGAATTTTCTAATCTTCCATGCTATACAGATGGCCCATCCATAAAGCACTCACCCTGCCTACCTGCTTCTAACGAAGAACTACAACCTTTTGACTTACATGTTAGATCAGCATTTAAAAGAGAAGGGTGTCTAGAGCCATTTGAAAGCAATCCTTTCAGTATAATTTCTGGTTTCTAATACTGAATAGTGGTTGCCTTTGTTGGCCTTTCAAGTCCAGTTCAGTTGATTTCACATCAGCATTTTAAGAAGATGTCTGGCTTGTATTGTCACCTTGGAAATTAATACAGCAATGGGAGACTGAAAGAATGAATGACAGCTTAATGGTGAGGGACTGTGCCCATGCTGATATGACAGCATTGCTGTCATCTCTTGACTCTGTTGGGAGCAAGGAATTGATCGTTCACTTCTACGAATTAAAAAGGTACTGTTTTCAGTTTTACTCTTTACATACTAGATTTGTAAAAGTCTGTGTTTCCATGGTAAACTTGGAAAACTGTTCTGTTTAGAAGCTGTTTTGTTGATGTCAATAGTAATGACTCAGTGCTGACCTGTTCCTCATTCCATTGTGCTCTTTTTTTCCCCCTCTAGATCAGACACAATCTATCTGAGGTCCTACTTGCAACCATGAATATTTTGTTCACACAGTACAAAAGGATGAAAGGCACAAGCCCTGCTACTCCTGCCAGACCCCAGCGTGTAATGGAGGATAGAGATTCGGTAAGGTTATGGTCCTTATCAGTCAGTGATGTCTGCTAAATGTTTTATTCTTTTTGTTGCAAGATTTTGGGTCTCAAATATGTGTATCATAGTCACAATCTTAGACGACTTGTTCTTCTCTTACAAGACAGATTGCTTAGGATCTTGCTATGCCGCCCAGTTAACCTGGGCTCTTAGCTGGGTTTTAGCCTTAATTCCCCTGTGATTCACACACAAAAACCTCTGACCTAGGTTGGGAAGTGCTTTAAGCCTGGGCTGCCTGACCCAGCTGGGGACTTGGGTTAGAACCCAAGTGCTGCATTGACTTAGGTTTGAGCCTGCCCACTTTGCAGTGAGAATGCAGGTTTTAAAAGAATTTTGGGGGGGTTACCCTTCAGCATTTGGAAAGACTATCATTATAAATCACATTGCCTAATTTTAAAAATGTAATTAGATCCTGTACGTTCCTCTTATCAAGAACAAAATATGACAAATTTGCCCAAATATGAGATCTTTATTAGCTATTGTCCCATAATTAATGCACTGAATTACAATGGATTTGATTGTTACATCATTCACAATTAAGAACTTGACAGCCTATCTTCTACTCATTAATGTTAATGCTTTGTCCCTGATGTTATAAAGCATATTTCTAGATCTTGTTTCAGTTTACACCTTGATAGGGTGGGGTGAGGAGTGGTTTTAACAGATCCCCAACCTTCCACACCAAGGAAATATTGAACGACATTAAGAATATTTAGGAAGTATTCAAGGCAGTGAAATAAACATCCAGTATGTGACACTGCAGGAACAGACTTTAAACTGAACTAGAGTGTTTTCAGTATTATTGAGTGTGATAGGTAAACCTCGGCTATGTCTAGACTGCAGGCTTCTTTCAGAAGAAGCTTTTCTGGAAGAGATCTTCCTGAAAAACTTTTTTCAAAAGAGAGCGTCCACACAGCAAAAGCGCATCAAAAAAGTGATCTGCTTTTTTCGAAAGATAGTGTCTGGACACTATCTCGCATTTAAGTTGTGATTACTATGGATGGAGAGGCCACCAGGGCACCTGTGCTTTTTCCTGGAGGCCTCTTCTTTCGGAAAAAAAAAAAAAACCCCTCTTCTCCATCCCCACACATCTTTTTCTGAAAAAGCTGTTTCGGAAAAAGGCTTCTTCCTTCGTAGAAAGAGGTTTACTGCCGTCTGGAAAACCCCTGCGTTCTTTTGACTTTCTGTCAAAAGAATGCAACTTCAGTGTATCCATACCCATTCTGTGGACAGGCCTGAGTAAGGAGTATAGAAACCTGGACTTTATTTTAACTGGTTAGGGGAGAAAATCAATTCTCCTTTTAGAGCTGATAACAACTCAGGTCATAAAGCTGCTTTATTTCATATGTTTATCACATATTAGGCTTGACTTACACATTTCAGTATTAGAGAGAACTTGTTCTATAGGAGATAAACTTTACTATCTTTTAAAATTACATATTTTAAAGATCAGGTTGGTAATATATCTTTTTCCTTTGGTGTGTACTCTATACTTGTGTAGGATATTTAACTACAAAACCCTACTTTGCAATTACTATTGTAGCCAAGACTGACAGAAGCAAGAAAGAACTTTTAGCGGTTGGGCTGTTGTCACTTTTAAATTACTCTTATGTGAAGCATAATACCTATGGATGTGCTCCTAGCACTGGCTAAAAGGTGGAGGGGCTGCAGCCTTAGGCCTGAAGTCCCTTGCTTTCAAGTGAAGCCTTTTGCTTCTCTGTGTGCATTGTGCTCATGTTTCACAGTATTGTGCCTTAGTGTGTAGGTCCTGTTTTCTACCATCTGCACTAGGTATAATCCCAGCCAGTCCCACTGCAATGTGCATGGTTCTTTGAGGAGTAAAAAGCTGATCAATGACAGGATTAGCTGCTAGCTAGCAGGACGTTGCATAGAAGGAAACCAGTGTGCTGCTTGCAGTCATCATAATTTTTGCTGAAAAGGTGTTTAGTGAGCAGTCTGCATTCACATGCTGTTGCAGTTGTAAACAGCTGCCAATTATTTTCCTTGTTTTAAAAATCCTATAATTTGTATATTTCAGGGATGAAAGCATATTCCCTGGTTTTCTAGCCTAGTTGTGGCACTTTGACATTTGGTTATGTTCAAAGGCACAGCAGGATTTCTGTTTCCATGTCATTCCATTTCTGTGGAACTGGAGGTTACTATTAGATATTGCAGTGAGCAGCATGCCTGCTGTGCCCTGTTCCTCACTTGTGGGATAAGGGAACAGTAGTTCTGATGACACTACAAGAATGAATACATCTTCCTCCTGTGGAATTAGTTACATTTCTGTGGGCAGTGGTTCCCAACCTTTTTTATACGATGGACCTGCAAAGCCATTTACAAACTTATGGCGGGCTGGTAACATTTTATTTGCATATTCATTATACAAACAATGAATACGCAAATAACATGTTACCTGTCCACCAACCCACTCTCCTGCTGACCCCGTCTTGTCACTGTACATCCCTCTACCTCCAACCCCAGATAGCTCTGATTCCATCCAGCCAACCCTGGTACTCTGTGTGTCTATTATTAAACCTGCCAAACCCATCATCTGATATCCCCTATATCCCACTAACCCCATGACCTCACACATCTGTCTTGCCAGACCTGTCACCCCAGTGCACGCTGTCTCCCACTTCCCAACACTCTCTGCTGCCAACTTCCTTTTGTCAGACACTTCTGTCTTGCTTTGATCATGTCCTGTATCCACTGTCACGGCCAGTCTTGGCACGTTGTGTCCTAGCAACCCCAACTTAAATTGACAACCTCCCAGAGCCCTGGATCCATCCCAGCACTCCCAGTGCTCCCTGACCTTGCCCCAGTGTCTCTTGCTCCACAAACACTCTAACGGCCTGTTGCGCCAAACCCTGATCCTGCCCCACTGAACCTGCAACTGCCTGGTCCTGCCTTGGGCAGCGGGCTGGACTTGACCTCCTGAGGTCTCTTCCAGCTCTATGAGTCTATGACTCTGAGGCCCCTGACCCTGCTCAAACATCTTCATATCTGCTGCCCCCGAGACAGAAGCACGAGCTATGCTGAACTGCCTACTGGTTTAACTCTTTGGCGTTTCCTTGTGAAATTCAGGCAACTATGGAGGATTTACCATTTGAGGTCAAGAAGCTCTTTTCAACTAAAACCAACGAGGTCCTTCATTCCCAAGAGACGCTCCGCTCTCTCGGCATCCACACAACTGCAACCAAAAGGAGGCAGTATAGATACCAACTGTACCCAAGACCAAGGTATCTACCTTACACCTACCAACACCAGAGACAGGACTATCAATGGAACAACAATGTGGTCGTGGCAAGCAATGGTATAGATGCAATCAGAGCAGTGCTGTCACCTAGCTGCACCAACCAAATAGGTAGACTTGAGCCATCCGTCAAGAGACCAAAAACAATTCTACCCGCTCTAGAGTTGTCAGTTATCAACAAACCATTCACCCATCATCTTCTGCCCTTTTATAACAACTGGCAGACCATAACATCTAATAAATGGGTACTACAAACAATCCAATCAGGATACACCATTGCTTTTCTCTCCATCCCTCCCTTGCACCCTCCTACCCCATCCCTCTTCAGGGATAACTCTCAAGAGGCCATCTTGCAATAAGAAGTTGAGCACCTCCTCCAGTTGGGTGCTATAGAAGCAGTCCCACAGGAATGGATTGGATCGGAGTGGATTTTATTCACATTTATTTTCTCTCTCAGAAAAAGAGTGGAGGATGATGTCCAATTTTGGACCTTAGAGCCCTTAACAAATTAATGAAGAGGCAAAAATTCAAGGTAGTAATGTTGACTACCATTATCCCTTGTCTGGAGACGGACAATTGATTTTCATTTCTCAACTTACAGGATACCTATTTCTACGTTACTGTTCATCCTGCTTATAGACGATTTCTTCCTTTCATCTTAGGTACGCAGCACTACCAATATACTGTCCTACCCTTTGGACTCTCCAAGGCACCAACAGTTTTTTTGCAAGGTGCTGATGGTGATTACGGCCCACCTTAGGAAACAGGACACTATTATCTACCCTTATCTCGACGATTGCCTCATCAAGGAAAGAACCAAGTACAACTCTCGTTGCAGCACTTACATTGTCCAAGAATGCTTTCAATCTTTGGACCTATTAGTAAACGAAACAAAATCAGTGCTCACACTGACTCAATCCATACAGAGCACAGCTCAGTTTGACTACCATCATAGCCTCTCTACCACAAGACAGGTTTTTAAAGAGTCATGATCTAAAGCTGCCACAAGGCATCTTGTAACCCTGTTGTTCCAAATACTCGTCTTTTCATGAGATGCTTCAGGGCTGGGTCAGGTCAGCCTACAAGCCAAATCTCCACCCTCTAACCAAACCCTGTCTATTCCTCTCAGTAAAAAGTGCAATATTATGGTGGACAAAAACAGAGAATCTATGTCTAGGAATTACCTTTCAAACTCCAGGACAATGTAGCACTTTAAAGACTAACAAGATGGTTTATTAGATGATGAGCTTTCATGGGCCAGTCTGGCCCACGAAAGCTCATCATCTAATAAACCATCTTGTTAGTCTTTAAAGTGCTACATGTCCTGCATTTTGCCTCAGCTACCCCAGACTAACACGGCTACACTTCTATCACTTTCAAACTCCAGAACTCTTTGTGGTTATCACTACGAATGCCTCCCTTATGGGGCGGGGGAAGCACATGAAACACTTCACGACTCTGGTCCTATGGACACCAGCAGAATGGGCCCTACACATCAACATCCTCGAACTCGGAGCCATTTGGTTTGCCTGTCAACATTTCCTATGTCACATGCTCAGAAAACATACCAAAATATATACTGACAATATCACCTGCATGTTTTATATAAACAGGCAAGGTGGAGCTCAATCGCATGCCTTATGCACAGAGACTATTGCCCTGTGAAGCAGGTGCCTTACCCATGCTATCGCCATAAGTGCATGCCACCTTCCTAGTGCCT